GCCAATCAGGAAGCCAGTTGGCGGGTAATGACTCGCCACCCGCCTTCCTGATGGAAAGGAAGTACCAGGAAACCAGATCCATGATGTTTGGCCGTCTCGATGCTGATTGGCCGAGAACACGCCTCCCGACTTCCTGCTTGGCCGGGCAGCCGACTGCATGATGATTGGCTGGGAAGCTGACTCCATGCTAGAGAAAGTACCGGTATCGGTACTTTTGGTACGAGTTTTGGTGAGTACCGAAAGATAAATAGTATATACAGTACATATACATACAGGTAGCACTCGATTTACACCAGGGTTAGGTTCCTGAAGGAATGGTTGCAAATAGAAACCAATGTAAATTCCAACCCAGTGTATAATGTAAGTCAATGGGAAGTGAGGTAGTTAGCTTCCAGGTCTCTCTCAAAAATTACATAAGTGACATAATACATCATATTTAAAGCTTTGAAATTAATGTTATGAATGCTAAACAGTATTATTTGCAGTATAAAATAACCACACAACAGAGTATATATCATCAAGCTAAGTTTAATGATCAAAAAAAGGAAAGTGAGTGAGGAGAGAAAGCCACTGAAGAACTTCTAAATATCCAAGTGTACCCCTGTTCCACTAGCATGCACCTATAAGCTGCACAGTGGCGGTACACAGTGGCACAGATACTCCGGTTTCCTCCCACACTCCAAAGACATGATGGAAGGTAATTTGGCTCTCCTAAGTAAGCATGTGAGATAGGGACCTTAGATTGTAAGCTCATTGAGGGCAGGGACTGATGTGAATGTGCAAATGTGCAAAATGTAACTCTGTATCTCCAAGTGTACCACTGTGACCCCAGCATGTCTCTTTGTGCCTGTGTACAGTATCTCCATGTGTATCCCTGTGCCACCAGCACATCTCCAAATGAACCCCCAGTGTGGCTCTAAGCACCTCCAAATCTCTAAGTGTACCTTTATGTGCCTCCAAGTCTGTACGTGTCCACAGTTATCTCACTGAGAAGAGCCCCTTGAACTGTGGAGAGGTCCCCTGTGTATCCGTTTTCGGCTCAGGACTGTGGAGGAAGGACGGCACTGACTCTGCAGTGGTTTCAATGGTAGTCACATGACCACCCAAAAAGGGCTCTATTTTGAAATGGCACAAATGGAGCCGGTGCAAACCGAGGGCTACCTGTATTTTTTTTTTTCATAGTTATATACATAGTATTTGAGGTTGAATAAAGACATGAGTCCATCAAGTCCAACCTATTAGGATCTCATTCTAGGAGTACCCGTACCCCTGTATATTGCGGTCCCTTAAGAAATCGTCCAAAAGTTTCTTGAACAATTCCACATTATTTGCTGAAATCACTGCCTGTGGCAGTGAGTTCCAGACCTTAACTGATCTTACTGTGAAGAACCCCCTTCGCCCCTTGTGCTGGAATTTTTTTCCCACCAATTTTAGGTGATGGCCTCTAGTTTTTGTAATGGAGTTAACTTTAAACAGCTTATCGCTAATGTTGCTACCACCATTGAACATTTTGTACATGGAGATCATATCTCCATGCACAACATCTCCTTATTCTCCTTAATCTCCTCACCTCCAATGTGAACATGTTTAAATTTAGTAGCCTTGTCTCGTAGCTCTGGTCCTCCATACCCCTAATTAGTTTGGTTGCCCTCCGCTGGACTTTTTCCAACTCAAGGACATCTTTTCTTAGTACTGGCGACCAGAACTGGACCGCGTACTCCAGATGAGGTCGAACCAATGATCTATAAAGTGGCAAAATTATAGACTTGTCCCTGCAATACATCCCCTTTTTAATACAGGACAAAACCCTGCTAGCTTTGTTTACAGCAGCCTGGCACTGCAAACTACCTTTCAGTTTGTGGTCTACAATGACCCCCAAATCCTTCTCCATTTCTGACTTCCCTAGCGGCATACCCATAATTGTATAACCCATTTGTTTATTTTTAATTCCAAAGTGCATTACTTTGCATTTATCGACATTAAACCTCATCTGCCACATTAATGCCCACTACCCCATCCGATCTGATGTACTAAAGGAGTAGCGAATACTTACAGGGTTATTCATGAAGGAGCCAAAGGATCGAGACGTAGCTTCAGTCGAACCGAAGGGCTGCTGTAGGGGCTATATTCACAATATTCGGATCCCTTCACATTTGGACGTGTTCAAATTCGGAATTTAACAGTTTACCTGCTCTAGTTTAACACCTTACTTTATTCCCCCAGCAACAATGGCGGCACATGAAGGGCATAGAGGCAGATACTGGGATGGAAAAGGATTGGCCACTGGCTGAGCCTCCATGTACAGTATATGGAGTAACCCATATGTTGGGTTTGCTTGGCTGCTCTGCTTTACAGAAGGGGCAAGGTTTGTATTTAATATCAATAACAAATAACAAATAACAAAAATAAAAACACAAACAAAACAAAACTAAGAGCTAGATATATTATATTACTACTGATTCTGCAGATTTAAAGGAAAGTTTACAGTTATTCTTTAAACCCAGTGAAGTGGGTAATACAAACGGCTTTTTGATTTGATTTTGATTTTTAATTATTAGCTCATCTTCAAATTAGCAAAACAATTATTCTTTCTAGGAAAATGAATTTAACATTGCTGCAGGTGAAATGTTTTTATATGATGGTCTTTGGTAACCTGTAAATGTCATACTCACATCTTGCTGTTTTGCTGAAATCCTATTTTTGTTTTCTGAACAAAGTGCAAGTCAATGCAAGCAACTAAAACTAGTCTCCCATGTAGACAGACTCTAACTTTAGCACCGCAGGGAAAGCTTCTGGGAATCAATGTAAGACAAATTCAGAGTTCTTAAAAGGTGCATTTCCTTTAAGTATTAAGTGGTTGTAAAACATATGCTGGTCACTGTCAGTATGATGACTTTTAACCCTAATATGCTGTACTAAGTAGACTAACTTTTAATTGCATTTTGGCTCACTACTGAAAACATGTTCACATTTTGTAGTATTACTGTATAGTGCGACAGGTTAATTCTCTTTTCTTAGAGCAGTGATGCTGAGCCCTTTCAAGGTCAAGCTATGTCTATTGTAACATGTATTTAAAGAGAATTGGTCATTTATTTGTAGTGCATCCATAAGTGTTGTCTTTGATAAGTATGTGGGTAAAGCCATACCTCACCTCGTTTGAATGGACAGTACCTTAATGTGGAGCCAAATCCCTTAGTCCCTCTTTTCTTCTCAGTTGTCCCTCTTTTTGGTCTCATGTATAGAACTCGATGAAAAAAATGTATTAGCTACCAAAGGTGTTATTCTACGCTACGCAGGGCTAAATGTAGAAAAAAAACACCCGCTCGGCGGCTGTGCCGCCTCTCTACTCCCTGCCACCCGCAGGCCAGGTCTCAGTGGCCTTGTGGGAAATCCGGCCCTGGTTATAACCCCTGCTAGCTTCTTTTGCCATCTCTGTCCATTAAGGAGATTTCCATAAACTTCCTGTCCGACAGCCACAACAAGAAATAAGAGAAAATCCCTGGCGGTCAGCAGGGTCACAAGAAATAGACTGAATCTCCTTAATGGGGACACAGAAAAACTTGAGAATGTTCTAATCCCTCTTTACCCAATATAAAACTTAAAAGCACATTTAGTGCACATCACTAATACAACCAGGATCTGCCTCTCCTGACCCTCCATCCTGCTCCCGTCCTCGCCAAAGCACTCACTCCCCCTGCGGATATAGGATGAGTCGTGCTCCAGCAGTGTCCCCCCTGAACTGATGTCCCCAATATCCTGCAACTTGGCAAATTTATTGGGGTTTATTTATTATGAATGGCTCTTAACTGCCTACTACTTGTAATTGCAGCCTATGGGTTTGGAAACCAATTTGGGCTTGGTTTCCAAACCAATGGGCCTCAACACTATTCACATTTTTTTCAAGAATTATTTATTTAAATAGTGTAGCTTTTGGAGCAGAAAACAGGGGCAAAATAAATGAATCAATTATTAAAATGAAAGTGTATGTGGAATACAAAAGAGTTAATAAGGAATCCTAGTATTGACAGACTGGTGTCTCGTAGCTCAAGCTCGTGAGTTTTTATTCAGTCCAGATGATAGTATTTTCCATTATAAAGAATAAAGATCTGGAAACCAGATTCTATGTTTTTATGAATTAAAGAATGAAAGATCATAAGTATGAGAATATTTAGCTGCTGGACGCAATAGCGTGTAGGGAAACAACAGTTCAATTCTTTGGTTAAAGGACAGAGAGGAAGTACTTATGACATTTGTGAGCAGACAAAAGCTTTGGGACCTTCCCAAATAGGGCTGCTTGGGGTATTTTGCAGAGGTGGAGACAGCTGCAGCTTCGGACAGCTACAAAAACAGCGGTGGTCTGAGTACTGCCGGAAACAACAAAGCATCTGATTTTTTCTTCAGACGTCAGAGACTAATGCTGTCCATACAACTGGCAATTCTATTGTTTTGGAGCTTTCCATCACCTTTAACTACAGCAATTCACCTCTCACAGCTCTAAACATTTTCAAGTGATCAAGCTATTGAAAATTGTGTGGAAATCAAATGCCTTTCAAATAGCACTGCAGTGGTTTTGATTATATTTTCTTGCAATTCAGATTGTGTGGTTACTTGGAACTGGGAAATTAATATATACACTCACCGGCCACATTATTAGGCACACCTGTTCAATTGCTTGGTAACACAAATTTCTAATCAGCCAATCACATGGCAATAACTCAATGCATTTATTTAGGCATATAGATGTGGTCAAGACGACTTGCTGAAGTTTAAAATAAGCATCAGAATGGGGAAGAAAGGGGATTTAAGTCACTTTGAACGTGGCATAGTTGTTGGTGCCAGATGGGCTGGTCTTAATATTTCAAAAACTTCTGGTCTACTGGGATTTTCACACACAACCATCTCTAGGGTTTACAGAGAATGGTCCAAAAAAGGAGAAAATATCCAGTGAGTGGCAATTTTGTGGGCGAAAATGCCTTGTTGATGTCAGAGGAGAATGGGCAGACTGGTTCGAGATGATAGAAATGCAACAGTAACTCAAATAACCACTCGTTACAACCAAGGTATGCAGAATATCATCTCTAAATGCACAACATGTCGAAATTTGAATCAGATGGGCTGCAGCAGCAGAAGAACCCACCGGGTGCCACTCCTGTCAGCTAAGAAAAGGAAATAGAGGCTACAATTCACACAGGCTCACCAAAATTGGACAATAAAGATTGGAAAAATTTTGCTTGGTCTGATGAGTTGCGACATTCAGATTGTAGTGTCAGAATTTGGCATAAACAACATGAAAGTATGGATCCATCCTACCTTGTATCAATGGTTCAGGCTAGTGGTGGTGGTGTAATGGTGTGGGGGATATTTTCAGTAAGGTGTTTCCAACACCTTACTGAATCTATGCCACAAAAGAATTAGGGCAGTTCTGAAGGCAAAAGGGGGTACAACCCAGTACTAGCAAGGTGTACCTAATAAAGTGGCCGGTGAGTGTAGATATCAGCTTACTATTCTGCAAAAGGTGATAGCTCCAAAAGTGCCAGGAAAATTGTCAAATGTATGACCAGTACTAACAACCACTAACTGCCATTGTTTATGTTTGTGCTGTGTGTATAGTGGTAGGCATAGGGAAATGGATGTGCACTATGTTAGGGTAGATCAGTGATCCCCAAAAACTGATGCATTGTCTTTCAAAGCCAGTAAATCAGAGCTGGTAGTTTCCACCAAAGATTTCAAGAACATAGTAACGCTGTATGCTAAGGCCCACCTCAAACCAGCCCTTCATGTGACCGTAGCACTAACACCCATTATGCTCTGTTTGCATATTCACATCTCTTGCATTAAAGACCAACCCATTATAAATACCAGTACAGGAATTTACTCTTTGAAAGTAAACTGTATTTGTGTATAGGATATGGACTGAACGAATTAAGCAATTTATGTTAAACTGTGCATATGCAAAGCAGCACTTGATAATAGCACTTCTTGTTATAGCTTTTAAAATGTTTATGATCTTTTCAAAGTCCCTACACTCCGTCAGAATACTATATGCCTTTTTGTGCCCTGTCCTCAAGGAAATCTGTACTGAGATAAATATACAGGCTAATATTGCAAACCTTTCCTTTTGTAAAAGGCAAGTTGACTAACTGTATCACTGATCCAATATGAGCATATAACAAATAGGCAGAGCAGTGCAGAACTCCTGATCTTCCTACATGGTCTGCTTTGGTGCCTCAAAAACCACAGAAGCCTCCAGATCACCATGACAGCCAGGCAACTAGTATTTTCAAAAGGTAAGATAAGCAATGGCAACCTAAGCACTTCTCTGAGAACAGATTTCCTTAAAGGAAGGAGACATTGTTCGTGATTGGTGTGTGGTTGCTAGGCTACCAGTACCACTTACAAGAATATGGAGTAGTACTACCGTGTTTCCCCGAAAATAGGACACTGTCTTATATTTTTTTTTACCCCAAAAAAACACACTAGGTCTTATTTTTAGGGGATGCCTTATTTTTTTTTTTTGGTATGGTAAGAATGAAATGAGAATAATACTGTCGCTCTTTCTTTTCCTACTGGTCAGTATCGGTAATGCTGATCCCTTTCTTTCACTTTCACAGGCGGAGTGCATCTGGTATCACTCCGCCTGTCACAGTAACTAGCGCTATAGAGCAAGCATCTGCTAATGTGGCTCTGCTCCCTCTGCCACCACAGCCTTGCTTCCTTTGCCATCAGGTACAGCTGTGCAGCAGTGGGGACATCAGACAGTGGACAGCGCAGTAAAGTACGGTACCATTTACCGGTACACAGTACATTACCATTAGATTAAGCAGTCTCTTCAGGGGGACAGCAGTTGGTGAAGTATGGTACTGGAGTGCTCCCTGTCACTGTGCTGGCCGGAGGGAGTCCCCTGTCATCCCCTTAATACAGTATGTCCCTGCAGGCTGATACCATCTCTCCTGCTCTTCAAGTTCCCCCTCACATGCCACCACCCAACTAGGTCTTATTTTCGGGGTAGGTCTTATATTACAGGAATCTTGAAAAATAGTGCTAGGTCTTACTTTCAGGGTAGGTCTTATTTTCAGGGAAACAGGGTACCAGCCCTTCATTCAGAATTCATTGACAATTGCATCTGACCTGCAGTTGATCTCCTTCTGACCTATATTTCACATGCTTAAAGCTTAACTTGTATGAGGATGCAAAATTCACTCGAAAAATGCACTTACATAAAATGAGTCCCAATACACTTGTGCACATACAGGCAAGTGTACTGTGCCACATTTAATGTAAGTACATTTTTAATGATTCTTAATAATTAGTTTTTAAGGTTTTACGCAAAGTGCTGCATACCATTATTACTTTTCTGAGATACTCTAGGATCAGTTTGCTGTATGTACACCGTTAAAAAGCCAGCTGGGCAGGTACATCTGAGATAAGCAAATTTGACCATATCAGTGTATTTTAAATATGGCCAATAAACAAAAGTGAGCTTTTCTCCATGGGAGTGTGTGGAACACTGGGGGTGTGAGATATACGGATTTTAAGAAGACAAAAGGAGGAAAATAAATCACATTTCTTGGCTGTTACAAGTTTGGGGGGGGGGGGGGGTGTCAAAAAGTTTATAATCGCGGTACTC